ATTTCTCCTTTGCTTCGTAGATGACAGTTATTCAGCTGTGAACTTGAAACCGAGCGGTTTGCGTTCAAAAAAAATGCGCAAAAAGTTGTTTCATGATTATCAGAATACACTAGTGGCTTTCTCGATTGGTTTTTAGACATAAGTTAAAATTAGATACAATTATCCCTCCACATTATCGACTCTGGAGTGACACTCAAAACAAAAACATAAAAACAAAATATTCAGCAAATAAAACCTTCTCTAGCACAGAAAGCCTGTGAATACAGACCGATTTTTTGTGTTCGTCCGCTATTTTACTTTCAACATGGAGCTCTCCATGATAAAAGTATCACCCTGAAGTTTTAGGAAAAATTCCTGCATTTACAGAGGCAACTCAGATCTTTCGATGGTTCAGAATCTGCGTCTTCGGAAATGTCGGACACTGTTCAGTACACTTGTGCGAAGTTGGGCCCGATGGGATTCTCTCGAGTCGAGCGATGCTTCCAGTGAATGATTGGTTGAAAGAGATCTAGATCAAGACCAATACCAAAACTTACCAAAAATATAGCAGGCACCCCCATCTATGATTCTATCAGAAATCAATCAGTAAACTAGGATTAGTCGACAATGAGGCGCAAATTTCGGGCATCAAAAAGCTGAGTTTTCAAGTTGACTGAGTTCGGAGTCAAAGTGCATCGGGAAGAAAAACTGTTACTACTAAGTGTCAGTTGTAAGGGGCGCACGGAAAGCACTCAAATCAATTATCGAAACAATCCATGCACTTGGAAATGCCAAATTTCAAGCACAATAGTAATAAATACTCATCCAAATTTCTAATTCTTGATCCAACCCCATCCGATCGGATCTGTTTCGACAAAGGAAATGGAAAGACGTGCGCGTTAACTCCGTTCGGATGAAACTTTTACGACAAGAAACAAGTTGAGTTTAAGCAGGTTTTGATACTTTAAAAAAAAATTAACTATTGAAAATGACTACTAAATGACATAAAATTAACTGAAAATTGACTTAAAATGACATATTAGAAAAGAGCGGCGTTGGCTGGAAGGACGTAAAAGTGGAAGCACGATTTGTTTCATGTAGAGGTTGAGGTGCGACCCGCTTTAACCTTATCAACGAGGATGATTCTGCCTAAGAATGGCCGAATAGCACAAAGGTTAAAAGGGTTTCCCCAAAAAGCGCTTATAACGTAACAAGAACACGTCGTATCCAACAATAGATTAATACTCTTGAGAAGAGTACGGATCGGATTGATACTACGTCGATGGTGACACAAATGTTAGTAAGACCAGTCTCTCTACAATGTTAAGCCAGTTATCTAAACAGGATATAAAACCTGAAGGGTAGCATAAAGTAAAGTGAATTTATAACATTACTGTTTATTAGTACAGAACCGAAATGCAACAATACGGACCTTTCATTTCCCTTTTTTTAAGGGCCAAATTTTTCAAATTTAAACCTCTTGAAAAAAATATTATCTTAAATCTCTCCATTACACAAACAGCATGTGCATCAAAAATGAAACAACAAAGTCCCCAAGAAGAACAAAGAAAGAACGCAAAAAAAAAAAAACCCGCAGACCAAAAAAAAATAATTTCGGGAAGGGAGAAAAAGGACGAAAAAAATGCGACGCGAATAATTGCAAAATAGCAACGCAAATAGGAAGGAAACAGAGCGACCGTAGGTAAAAGCTAACTATAAGAGAACTTGTGCAATCAGCATAGGTTGGTTCTTAATTTTTATTAAAAGTTGGATTTTTGAAAGACTTTATATAAATAGACACTAATAAACATTAAAATTGTAACGAAAACATTTGTCTTTCCTTTTTTGCCTTTTGCCGTTAACAATTTTGAGATTTTTCGTGTTTTTCTCCAGCACAAACCCTTCGATTTTGACCATTTTAACTATCATTCAACGTAGAATGAAATTGCGCATCGAATGATACCAAAATTAACTCAAAATATAATATCGATGCAGAGTTATGATGCAAAGGTTAAGATGCGTTCATAGTTGGCGTTTTTAGCCTACATCTTTGCATGAATATGATATCAAGATTAGATTTTATCCTTTTAACTTTAGCTAGTAGCGTCTTTCAAGAAGTTCTTTTCAAGTTTGTTCGTTTAGCTAAAAATTGTGTTAACTTATTCGACTCTCACGTTCCAAATTGAATAATTTAAATATTCTGTGAACGTTAATCAAGATAAACATTTAAAAACCAAGTTTTATGAACTAGTTAACTAGTTCATCAAGTTTTTCCGTAGATAAGCCAATTAAAAAGAAAAGTTGATATAGAAAAATCTATAGTAAAGCAAAGATCAGCTAAAGCCTTAAACTGACAATAATGAGAAACAGCACTGTGACTTTACAGTATTTTACAGGTATTTCATGATTTCCTAACCCAAAACGTACTATAAAATATCGTAAGCTTTCAGCTTTTCAAAGTTAAAGCACTATTTTTAAAAGAGATAAAGGTAAAAGAAAAAACTCATTCAGTGTCTTTATTACTATTGGGTTGGTGAATTGAAAACTGCCGGACTTTGAACTAAAATTTATTCAACATAAAACCATCAATTCATTCAGAAATAATTTCCATTATTCTTGACGACTTCTGCCCATTTTACAGGCAATTTGCGGATTCCTCTTTCTGAGTAGGATTTTGCTTTGTGTGTGAGACAGTGTGAGACTCAAAAATGGAGGACTGGAGATGTCCTGGAGATGTCCCAGTTTGAGCACTTTCTTCAAAGAAACCCATTTTGGTGTCAATAGAGAAAGTTGTAGAGAATCAAAAGTTAGGCTTATAGCCAAATTTTCAAAAAGATACACTTAGTAGTTTCGCTTAAAATGCAAGTTTTGTGAAAATTCGTAAATTTGGCATTTCTTGAAAACCAGTTTTTGAATCGTTCTGAAAATTTGGATATAAGCTTGATTTTTGATTCTCTACAACTTTTCCATTGATACAAAATGGGTTTCTTTGAAAGTGCTCAAACTGTCAATATGACAGTAGCCGGCAGTTTTCAATACACCAACCCAATAATTCTGAAATTGCTTTTGAAGAGTTGCTGTAGGCTTTTTGCTAAATAGTTTTACAAATCCCCTCTATTAATAGGCTAAAATGTTTCAAATTTTTTTAAGATAAAGCATTTGTCATTAGATAAAGGCATTAAACATTTGTCAAGCTACAATTGTTAAAAATGGTATTGAAGTTCATCGCTTACTAATGGGATTGTTTGATTTTGATGATGATGATTTTAAATCGTTAATTGCTTTAAAATCAAACAGAAAACTAGAAAATAATTACATTTTTAAAAGCCAATAGGTTCATCAAGTTTTCCCGTAGATAAGCCAATTAAAAGAAAATTTGATATAGAAAAATCTATCGTAAAGAAAGATCAGCTAAAGCCTTAAACTGACAATATTGAGAAACGGCACTGTGACTTTACAGAATTTTACAGGTATTTCATTGTTTCCTAACCCAAAACGTACTATAAAATATCGTAAGCTTTAAGCTTTTTAAAGTTTAATCACTATTTTTAAAGAGATAAAGGAGAGATAAAACTTAAAGAGATAAAAACCTATTCATTGGCTTTATTACCACAACTAAAACTGACTACAACTTGCAGTTAAAGATCAAATTTGAAACTTCAAAAAATAAAAAACGAAAAGGAAAGTTTTAAGATTAAAAACAACCGTGAAAATCCAAAAATGTGAAAATCAAATTAAAATCCTAAACCAATTTTCAGTTATTTCCTGAACTGTTGCCAGAGCTGCACACAAGCCGGCTATGCTCTACTTTTGGCCTAAAATCTTGAAAATCTTGAAAATTTCAATTCCTTCAACTTTTGACAATCTCATTCCGGATCCCTCATGCAATTCTTGGCTCGAAATCTCAAAATCTTTGCATTTTTCTATTCATTTTCGAAATTTTGCCAACATTGTGCCTTTGTTTTTCTCATTTTTCTCTTTAAAAGTGCTCTGTTTTGTTTTTCATAAATTTGCGTGTTTTGAATAAATATTTGCCTCGTTTTACGTTTTAAAACTTTTTAAAATGATCCCAAATTTATTCAAAAAACAATGAAAAACAATGAAAAACAATGAAAAACACAGTTTCGTTATCGCAAAATTTCAAAATGATTCAGAAAGCTCGAGGAAATTTTCGAAAGTTTCGAAAAACTCTATATACAAAACTCTTAAAAAAGCCAGCAAAAACAAAATTTCGCGTCTAAAACGTTTGAATTTCGAAATTTTTTGAAACTTGGGCTTTAAAATTTTGAAATTTTTGAGCAAAAATTTAGGCAATATTTTCATTTGCGGGAGAGCAGGGGTCAGCCGGGAGACTTTCTTGATTTCCTCGTCGTCAATCACCACTTTTGGTCAGCTCAATCTGGGGAATTTCATTTTGATTATAAAGTTTTTTTTAAAGCCAACAAAACATTTTCAACTAACACCGATACTTCATAAAGAGATTTAAATGAAACCTTTTACCTATGGTATAAAAGGATCGAATCGTCCCGAACGTGTTAATAGATTGAGTTGTGCATAAAAAATTTCACAACCAAAAATTAAGGGGAAAAAATCTGGGATTTCAATTTGATCAACCTGCCGCGAGTCACCAATGTGCTGACAAGCTGAGTGAAAGTAAATCCTATTTGTTGTTACCGTAAATACTGTAATAGTTCCCCACCCCCTCGTACAATCGCGTAGTCCTCAAAGTTTTTCGTATTTCATTTTTTCAAAGCGCCCGTACTTTCAAAAATGCGTCTTTGGTATCAAAAAATAGCCCTGAATTTCAGCTATTTTTGATACCTAACGCACGATATAGCATAAATGAGTGTCGAGAAAAACTCGCTCAAAGCTAGACTACGCAACACTCCGTACCGTCATTATGGGGGTGGGGTACTATTACAGTGTTTACGGTAGTTATTATACCATTATATTTCACCAATATCAAATGTGTCATTTATAGAATAAAAAGACATTTAAATTGCTTCTTTCACTTTTTTTTACCTGAATCTTTCATTCACTTCGGGCATCGAATCGGCCATCGGTCGTCCCTTTGATTCGGGCACCAGAACGGTGACACTGAAATCGGTGAATTATAGCAAAAGAAAATAAAGAATACCTTGAGAATTGTGCTAATTAGTAATGTTATTGAAAAAAAATAGTTATCATTTAGCTATTTTCAATAGGAATTTTATTTCTCATAGTTAATCGTTCTCAATCGGTGATTAATAACTTTTATCGGCACTGAAAGCCGTTCACTTTAAGAAATGAAATTTAGTTTCATTAAAATCTTGCTACTGATCTTTTTCTTGGATCTATGATCTTCATTTAAATCGACTTTTAAAACTCTCCAAATCCGAAGAACTTGAATCGACTACGCTGATTCTGAATCCGTTTTCAGTTTTTGCTCTCGAGGCCTGTAACGCGAGTTATTTGAGTTACAAGTTGCCCACTTAAGTTTATTTTTCGTCCATCAGTCAACGTCCAGCGCCAAAGCTGTCGACTAAAGATCAAAGCACTCTGGTTCGATCCTCTCCTCAGGCAGTTTCTTTTGTTTTACAAGTTTGGCAATCTGGCAAGTCAGTTTGGCACGTTTTGCAGGTTCACATGTTATAACAGGCTCCCAATTAAAGACTCGATAAAAACATTACTTTCATTTTTATTTCGATTTCAATGTAATTTGAGCTAGATTAAAAACCAAAGGGAATTGGCCGAGGAGGGGATCGAAAGGTGAATTGGACCCGTAGTAGTCGGCAGTTTTGGTGATGCTTTGGCGAATTTTCTATCAGATTTCTCTAAAATATTTGTCCTGATTTTCTTTGATTTCCAAGACATTATAAGGCCATTGGCTCCGTTGAATGAACTCTCCGAAATCGAAAAATGAACTCGTAATGAGGCTTAAAACTTGTAACTAAAATATCTCGCGTCACAGGCCTGGAGGAAAAACTAAAAACAGATTCAGGAGTCAGGGTAGTCGATTCTATAAGATGGAGTTGGTCTCGTTTTAAAAAGGTCATAACTTCCTAGTAAGTCATTAATTGCAAATCCTTACCAAAAAGTCTCGCCGAATTGCAGCGCCAACATCACCAAATAGGGAAGAAGCTCGAAGATTGAGGACTGGAAAATGTTTTGGTTTTCGAGATTTCCGAGCAAATTCAGATATTTGTGCTATAAAAATACTTAGGATTTCAATAAAAATGAGCAGAAACATTTAAGAGTAGCAAAAAGGTCAATTTTGATAATCCTTTTCAAGTTATGCGGCCCTAAATTTAGCATACGTAATCGCAATTTCGAAGTTGACATAACAATTATTTCATAGATTTGACAAAGAAATTTAAGTCAAAGAGTTTTAAAATCAAGATCTTTAATAAATTTTGATTTTTAAATTTAGCAGTAAACACTAAAGAATCAATGAATATACCAAATGGAAAACTGCGGTCCCAAAATTGATCAATACTTCCGCTGATTTGCGTCGTTGCATAGGCAATGTTACGGACGGCGGTTGGATAGATCCTAGAAAATAAAAGTTTATTGAAAGCTTTTAGAAATTTCGACTTAACAGCTTTAGTTGTTTCAAAACAATTATTCTTGGAAGAGGCTTTTATTAAAAACAACTTCAACAACAACAACAACTTCAATTCGGATAGCTGAATAATTTAAAACTTTGATTTCCACCACTACGATTTAACCTTATAATGTTGAGACAAACGTTTTGAAAATATTATAAACTCAATAGTTAATGATTGGAACGTTCCTAAAGATTAAAATTATTAAACTTTTGAAATTCGTGGAGTATTTTATTAGAGAGAATCAGTTTCTTTGGTGATTGACTAGGTCGCATTTGAAATTTACTTTATTTTCTTTCAAAATGCTTTGCTCAATAGTAAATTTACGAGGAAATTTCTCTAAAAGAATAAACTGCAAAAAGCAGTTGAAATCTTTTAGGTTCAATTTGAATAAAAATACAAAGAAGATTAAAAATCGTCCATTAGTTGAGCCGTTTTGAAAATTGAAACTTAAATTTTTTGAATTCTTAGGGAAAAACTGATTTTACTGTGTCGAGGTTGAATTTTGAAATACACATATTTTCAAGATTTTAACAGTATTAAAGGATTCGTTACAAGTCAAAGGCACAATAGGGCTGGGGGAAAAGGCTTTGAAAAGTGTATGATAAGTTAAAAATCCTCTCAACTCTTGTCCTATTAGCTAAATTCTGAAAGAAGTTGCTGTTTGAATACCTTTATCTACCTTCAGCTAAGCTTTAATTGATTACAGGGTTCCTTTGTTATTATTTGCATTCTATATCTCTTTATTATTGTCACGAAAAAACTCACACTCCGAACAAGTGACCCCATTGACGGGCATAAATCTGTTATAACCATCGACCCGGCGGACATCACCAAATAGCGAACGGTCGAGGCTGAGGGAATCGATGTCTAAAAATAATAATTGGACAGATGAAGATTGAAGACATTAAATCAAATATTCCAATTAAATCAATTAAAAACATTTAGCAATCTTAATGTTTTACAATTTTTCTGATCCATCAAGAATTTGCTTGTTTGCTAGCATGAAAATACTCTTGAAAACGAAAATGCTGATTACATGATGAAACATTTAAAGAAATTAATGAAACGTTATATAATGAAACACTTAAGAAACATTTTAAACATTTAAACATTGCATTTAAACATTTAAACATTTAAACAATGAAACATTAAACATTTAAGAACATTTAAAACTTGTTAAACAATGAAACATGAACAGATCAGGGTTTTACAAAGTTTCTGAGCTCCGATATTTTGTAATCTGGTGCCACCCAGGAAAAAAAATATAGCCCAGCAAGGTTATGGTCCTAAGACGATAGTTTTAGGACAGGTGTTAAATCATTCTGAATGGGCTCACTTGATGAATCCCGATGATAAGAGAATTAAGCTCCCAAAGTAGCTCTACAGGCGAAGAGATGTTGGGATGACGAAAAGTTAAAATGATGTTTTTGATGCTTTATATTCTGACAGGGCTAATAAAAAACGTTTAATCTATTTGTCAAAAAGTTTTTCTTTGTGTAAAACCTTTGAATCAAAAAATACACAAAAAAACTCGGCGGACCGAACATCTCGATTACCAACGCGATCGCAATCGCCACCACGTTATACATAGAGAAAAACATCAACAGCTATCTAAAAATTTGCATTCTTATTCGAGTCAGGTGAAATTTTATGAAAGTCTGGATCATGGATTAGCTCCTGGTCAAAAAACAAAATTGGCTCAATTTGATCACTATTTTAGTCGTATTTTTCATTTTATTCAGTATGGCGTTTGCTTTTGAGCGACAATTCATCTTTCACGTCAGAAGTGTTGCCTATTTTGCTATATTGAGAAACAGAAATTGAAATTGAAATTTGTTTTTTTTTGTAATTGGAGTAAAATAACCCTTTGTAAAGATGTTTTTTAAAAAAATTCTAGAAATTTTGAGAAGCAAGTTTCAAGTTATTTAAGATGAGAACAGTTGGTGCAAAAATAATCCCAGTTCCTTTAGAGTCAAGCTTGGAAAACAAATACCTTATTTTCTCTAATAGTAGTGCACCGCGGTGACCGAGTTGTTGACTATTTTACGGTTCCAAGCTTTTGCCGAAGCTCAACACTCAAATCCCCAAAAGATCCCATCGTCAGCTAGATTTATCAATCCCACATCGATAGGTTCTGATAAGCGGTTCTCGAGATTTTCAGTAGTTTAGGCAACTGCACTACTATTAGAAGATTTCAACTACAGAATGATTACATTCGCTTTTCTCTTTTCATTGTTTAAAGATCTAGATGATGGGTCACCCAAATCAAAGTGCAGTTTGACAAGGAAAAGGAAGCAATTGAGACATCAGAGATAGATCTTCGGTTATGGGAACTGATGAGCTCTTGATGAACTTTGATAAGAAACTTGTATAGAGAAGCTTGTACTTGCTTGTATAGAAGCTTGTACCGTATATCTAATAGTAGTGCAGTCCAGCAAGCCGGAAGGTTGATGGCTATTCTACGGTTCCCAAGTTTTCCCAGAAGCTCAATCCTCTAATCCCCCACCAGATCTCATCGTCAGCTACATTTTCCGACACCACATCCCGATAGGTTCCGATAAGCCAGTTCTATAGATTTCCAGAATTTAGGCAACTGCTATTCTATTAGAGAAAATACGGCAATTTCCAGGCAGACTAGCAAGCTTTTAGTATCAAAATGATATTAAAGTAATTGGGAATTGAATTCTATTCACGTTTTGAGAATGAAAGCTGATCGAAAGCGCATGGCACCACTCACTTTTCTTCCAACTCTTGGATAATTTCTATCGACTGCAGCTGAGATCACATTGAGAACATATCGGAAACAGCCTGAAATTCGATAAAAAGTGTAGGGTTGAAATTTTAGCTAAAAACTGCTTTATCTAATAAGAAAAAATATTTGCAAAATGCAAAAATCTGTATTCAAGAAAATCAGTCACCTAAATCATATTCCATAAGCTAAACATAATCCTGCATGAATTAGTGATCCAGAAACATGAAGCTGAAAATGAAAGTATTTTTGTAAATTCTTAAAGAAAAATTTTGTAAATCTTGTAAAAAACTTTACATTAATTCTATTATAAAAAAGAATGATATGATTCCAATTTGAGATGTCGATTTGAATTGAATGTGAGTTCATTTCTTTGAAACATCCTTTTTAGATATTTAAAAATTAGTACTATGAAAGTAAATTAACTAGTAAACGTTGAGAATTAAATAGTAAATCTTACCTTGTATAAAAGAATGGTAAAATTTGGCCTTATCATTAGCTCATAAATTTTGAGATATTTGAAAGCAAACTAGCTGAGAATCATCGTGAACGAGTAGCCAATGAGACACCAAGTGCAGAAAAGATGATGGAAGAAATAGCTGCCCGTCGATTTTTTGCCTGAAAAATTGGTTTGTTTAACAAATGTTTATGAAAACTGGATGAACAAGATAATTTTTATTTTCAATAATTGTAAGAATAATGTAGTGATGATTTCAAGAGCTTTCCGAAGCTGGTAATCCTTGAAACTTTGAATAATAGATTGAACAATTTGATTACTGTTGTTTTTGCTGTTGTTGTTTTGCTGTTGTTGTTGTTGTTGTTGTTGTTGTTGTTGTTGTTGTTGTTTTATTTGTTGTTGTTGTTTGTTGTTGTTTTTGTTGTTGTTTGTTGTTGTTTTGGTTTGTTGTTTTGGTATTAGCACTTAGCATTTAGCAAAGTTGATAAATGCTAAACTGCTATATCCGTTTTGCCTTAAAATTGCTAGATGGTAAATGTGGACTAATAAGTACAGTACTGGACAATGAAATATCATATTTGAAAAAACGATCGTCACTTTCGCGCGTCTGTAACTCCCTTGTCTTTTGAGTTTAAACTATTAATTGTTATAAATTTTCTGAAAGCTCTTTTCAGGGGCTAAACAATGGTAATATTAATATTTAGAAATACGGTAAAGACAATGGAGTTACAGACG